TATTTTATGGCTTACATTGATTATTACTGATTTTTCCTTCCATCTATTATTCTTTAGATTTCTGTCTTCTTTTTCTTTCTGAATAGAATCTATTCACTGCTGGTTCTGTCAGTGAAAATCTGAGGCAAACTGTCTAGAACACGGCATAACTAAAGTGGCCAGTAATTAACCCTTATACTTGGATATTCTTTAGTTGGATATAGAATTCTAAAATCAGAGTAACTCTGTGTTGGTTTCTGACATTTCAATTTCCAAAGATAAATATAACGTCGATCAAATTTATGTTTTTATCTGTACTTACTTGGAATCTTCTGTTTATTTTCTACCTTTAATCTTCTGAATTTTCACTGTGTGTGTGTATAAGGTGTAAATTTTTAAAGAAATATCCTCCCTTCTTCGGTGTTCTAGTTAGTTTCTGTGTTTTTGTGACTAAAATACTAGCAAGAACAATTTAGGGGAGGAAAAGTTTATTTGGGGCTCACGGTTTCAGAGGTTTCAATACATAGTTGGCCAACTCCATTGCTATGGGCCCAAGATATAAAAGCACACAGTGGTAAAAGGGCCCAGTGGAGAAGAGTTGCTTAGCTACTGGCCAGGGTCAGGAATCAGAAAGAAGGAAGGGGAAAGTACCATAGGGAAGATTCACCCATCTAGAGCATGACCTCGTGACTCACCTCCACCAACTATGTACCATCTGCCTATGGTTATCACCCACTTCATTCAAACTAGGACGGACTTATTAGGTTCCAACTCTTATAATCCAAACATTTCATTTCCAAATATTGCTGCATTAACAGATGCTTTTGAAGGTAGAGTTCAGATCCAAACTATAATATTCTGTTTCACGTGTTCATCTTCTATCACTTTAACAATTTAAATATACTTATTTTGAGATACTTTTCAGATTGATCTGATCTAATCAATTTCCTTTGGCGTAACCTCTTCCAAATATCTTTCACAATGTTTATCTTCATAAGCATTTGAATTATTCTTCTTTTGTGAGCTCACATTCCACACATTTTCTCCATGTTTCTCTCATTGCCTGTATCTCAGGCCCAGGCCATCATGTATGTATTAGGCTCAGGGAATGCTCCAGCATAAGCAATATATTTCCTGCTCTGCACTGATAATGTGATGACCCCACTTCCCTACATGTATGGAGGATGACATTGAAAACGTTGGTCATTGGAAATGGCTCAGTTCTTTAGTGACCATGGAAAGTGTGCAAGGCCATATAGTCTCTGTTCATGGGAAAATATTGTATTTCCACCCTGAGCTACTGGAAGGTAGTGTTAATTGAGTCTACAACTATAAGAGATGAGAGGCCACTGCTCCTGCACATCTTGGATCTATGCCTTATTTCCATATCAAGTGATTTTATTTTCTGACAATTACCAAATGAGGCCTTTGTTTATGCCCTTATAGAAAATTGCCTTCTTATTTAAGGTACATGTTTGTTATTTTCAAAACTTTTAAAACCATTGCCATTTGAAGAATGGGAATTTTCACAATGTGATTAATGTGCCCTTCTAAATATCAGACCTTTGTATTCCAGAGGAAGCTGAGATGCTTCCCAGTGACTCTTGTGCTATTAGCTTTAAGGTTTACTATGAAAAAGAAGTACAAAAATGGTTTTTGTACTTGAAACAGAGAGTTTGGAGATGTTTGGAGGCCAGGGACAGTCAATGAGCAATGCAGTTGCTTTTCAAGTCAGTAATTTTTTGCAGGTCAAAGGGTCAGGGCATGTAAACTGCAACCAAATTGCATGTGAGGAATGTATTTGTATACCTAGTTGTACCTCCCCATGGAGCTAACTCAAAATCTGTGGACTTGAGGCAATGTTTCTGGATATTCTACATGACAAATTGAGTTTTCCCTAATCTGTATATTACTATGTCACCTGCCAAATGCTCAGTTACCATATGAGTTAAACCCACTGCCCATCCTGGATTTCAGAGCTCATACAAACATCCCAGCCATTACATCTTGGAATCAATAGGCTATAGGTCTACAAGACTTCCCAGGCCAATCATTCAGTCTTTCTGTGGGGTAATACCATCTTCCCTATGCACTTAGAGAGATCCCTAGTAACTTGTGTGTAGAGAAGAAAGAAGTTCCTGTACTTATATTTTGGGTACAGACAAAAATACCTTTGGACGCCCTGAACTGACAAAGACGGGGTGTGTTGTGGTTTGAATCATAAATGTTTTCCAAATGCCCATCTGCTAAATGTTTGATGACCAATTTTTGTTGCCATTGGGAGGGTGGAACCTTTGGAGGTGGGACCTTTGAGGAGGAAATTAGGTCACTAGGAGTATGACTTTGAAGGGGGCATATTGGAATCCAAGCCCCTGCCCTCCTCTCTCTTTTTTTCTGGGCCACTATGAGGCAAATAATCCTCTTCCACCATGTTCTCCTACTATGATGTATTGTGTAGTCACAAGCCCAAAGTGACAGGGTTAAATGACCTTGAACTTAAACCATGAGTCAAAATAAACTTTTCCTCCTTATAAGTAGTTGATCTTAGGTATTTTGTCATACTGGCAGAAATCAAACTAACACAGGTGAATTCACCCCTGCCCTATTACCACTAACTACTCTCAGATTGATTTTGTTCCCCTAAGACTTTTCATTCTACACAGGTGAGGAGTTTCCAGAATCCACTGCCTTAGAATAGTCTCCTTCTCTTAGCCCAATATCAGCACTTTTGGTCCTAAAGGCTTATTGACACTATCTTGTTCCCAGCCTTCCATCACTTCTGCCTATACTCTTTGTCTTTCTTGAGGTCTCTGATATCCTGATTCACCACTCAGTTTTGGTTTTGTGAACTTCATCCTTGACTCATACCAGGTGGGAAGGGTATTTGGAAACATATTTTATCTTTTTATAAAGATTAATTTTTAGAGAAAGAGAAGAAACTAATATGAACATTATTTCTTTACCAATTATGTAGCAATAATTGTGCCTGGTGGTTTGCATACATTATTTTAAATACTGGAGTTAAATGTCATTAACCTTTAGGATGATAATAAATGCACTCTGATTTATTGGATTTCCAAACAAGGGTGAAATACTTAAGGTCTTATAACATAATAAAGACATTAAGATTTATGAATCAACTTATTAATCAAGAAGTATTCATGTCTACCCATCCACTAATGACCTTTCTGAAAATGAAGTTATGAGCACATTATATTTCAGCACCAGGGAAACTTCCCTAAACATCCAATGATATATGCAAATTTTTGTTTTAATGGGATTTTTTAGATAACAACATTAAATGTTTGATACATTATTTGGTGCCTTTGTAAAAGTGAGTTCTAGAGTATAAAATTCCCAATGAAAAGATGCAAATGCATGGTCTTACAACAAACCTATGAGACACTTGTATGTACTTTTTCAAATCCATACTTATTTATAGAAACAATCAGCACATGTGCCACATGGAATAAAACCATAGTAGTAGCCAAGACTTGCCTATCCAAAATTACTATTTGTTTCTTCCTCAAGAAATACACCAATATTATTTGCAAGCCATTATATAAGAGAAGTAAGCACTCAACCAGGAGGATGAGGACAAAGCTATGTGAGTCCTGAGTTAACAAGATCAAGTTAGATACTTGTAATACAACAGCAAGGGGAAGGTTCATTTATTTTCTGGGAACCTGTCAGGATATAATTTTGATCTGGTGGCTGGCCACATTTCTGTTATTCTGATTCAAGTAGAAAATTCTTTGCAAATTCACAAAAAGTATTGTTGAAATACTGCAAAGGGGAGAATTCCATTCAATGCAATTTAGAGTATGCATTAAATATTTTTGAAATGTGAGTATAGAAACTCTGGGTCATTGGAAGATAACTTTAAAGGGGGTCTAAAGGTAAAAAGAAAAAGACTTCTGAATAGCCATTATATTCAGTAGAAACATGAGAGTATTTTTTATGGTCTTGGAGTGGGGCGGGAGACAGTTGCTGAGGGCTTATTGAAGTTAACTGCAAGGAACTCCAAAACTACGTTTTAAACTTTCAAGTTATCATTTAGACTCAAATAAATGGAGTCAACTAGGTCATTAAAGTTTTTATGTAGTTGAACCCAGAAACTTGAGTAAATGTTTTATTAGGAATTTCTCACATAGAGATACTTGCCTGAGGGTTTCCCTTCTCTTCTGACTTTTGCCAATCTTTTGTCTCTCATCTCTGCATGGATTCATGATTTGGAATTGCCAATAAGAATGGACTTCTAAGGAGTGACAATTTTTTGAAAGATAACTACTGAAATTGCCAATCATATTTTTTCAAGTTCAAGTCTCATTATTTACAAACCATGTTTTTCCTAAGAGGGTTACTGTTTCCCTTTAAATAATGTTTTTATTAACTAGAGTCTTCATCTAGTTTCAGTCCCATCTGTGCCAGACTATTCTGAATTGTGTTTTTAAGGGAGAAAGTCCATTAACTTAATTTTAATTTTATTCAGTCTTTATTAAAAAAACATATAAGCATAAAATTAAATCTTTCTTAATCTACTTGCAGTGTTTAGGTTATAGCCTATGTACAAATTTCTCCTATTGAGTCTCTCCCATTTTGTGACAATTTTATAGACTAGTTTCACAGACTCCCTACTGATTTTTCACTAATGTTGGTAAAACTTTTTCAGAATTTGAATTTATGGATAGTAATTAGTGAGCACTAATAACTTAATCTTGTTTTTAAATAGCCAGAGCCTGCAATGTCTTGGTATAAGCAGAAGCAAAGAGGTCAGACCCATCTCCTGGCTGTGCAACATTTTGAGTTACTGATGCAAGCAACCCTTGAAGTGAGTTTTTTTCTTACCCAGGGTCCATGGATGAGCTCCAGGACTAAGTCTGAGAATGTTTTGACATTTAGCACAAGTGTTTCCTATGTGAGAGTGCATATGGGTTTGCACAGTTTTACCAAAAGAAGTAATGTTATCGACCTAAGGCTAGGTCCTTGTCTCGGATGTCAATTCAATAATGAGGACACAATTTTGAGAAAAGGGAAAAAGTAGTTTTATTGCTTTGCTAGCAAACAAAAAGCACAGGAGACTCCTGTCCCAGAGGCCTTGATTCTGCCCATCAGGGAGAGCAGAGGGTTTTTAAAGAAGTGATTTATTCCAGGTGTTCAGCCTGTGTGATTCACTTGTTAATTTGGGAGAGAGGAGAAAACATATCTGTTTTAAGATAAGCCCAAATACATGTATGAAAACACGAATGGTGTAAATCTACTTTGTAAACAACCAGAGATATGAAAAAATTGTGCTCTATATGTGTAATATAAATTGTCATGCATTCCGCTGTCATATGTAACAAATTAGAATTTAAAAAAAAAGATAAGCCTTAGGGACAGAGCAGCAAGGGCTATATTCAAAGCATAAAGTGGACCACTGTTACAGTAAGAGGTACAGACAGGTGTATAAGGGGCCCTGAAGTCATACTGTCTGGATGTTTGCTGATGGGATGTTTGAACATGTAATCATGTGACATATTGAGCATTTTATTCTGAAGGATTTTAGAAATAGCAGGTATGGGAAAGACTCTCTGATCTTTTCCATTGTCAGGTCATAAGATTCTTATGCCCTCCATTAACCCAAAGGACAGGAACATCCTTATCTATGAATATGGAATGCTGAGAGGAATCAGAACAATCAAGTCTTGAATTCCGGGTTCCCCCCTCCCCCCCCCCACCCTTAGGTCACATCCCATTATCCCATCATATTTTTTCCATGACTCTTCATTTTTTTTTTTAATCAAATCTAGTAAAAAACCACTCAAGTTCAACCATTTTCTTCAGGTCCTCATTTCCTTATGAGGTCTCCCATCATGTAAATCTTCTATTAAGTAAAGTTGGATGCTTTTCTCTTGTTAATCTGTCTTTTATTACAGAGTCCCAGCTGAGAACCTAGAAAGGGTAGAAGGAAAAGATTATTTTTCCTTCACTTTAATCTCTACCCAACCACTTGGCTGTGTGACTTCAAACAATACTCGTGACCTGTCTCTTTTTCAATATCCTCAAGACTGCAGAAGTAATCTTAAGGGACTTCTGTGAGAATAAAATGTGAGGATTTATGTAAAGTCCATAATGCAGCGACAGGCACCTAATACATGTTAATAATTATATCTTACTCTCAAAAGAATATGTAAGGTCAGAAAGTTAAGAAACACTGACCATGGGCTGGGCTCTAGCTCAGTGGTAGAGCACTTGCCTAGCACATGAGACGCTCTGGGTTTGCGCCTCAGCACCACATTAAAACATAAATAAATAAATAAATAAATAAATAAATAAAAGGTATTGTGTCCATCTATAACTAAAAAAATGTAAAAAAAAGAAAAGAAAAACATTGACTATAGGTATTTTTAGAATTATGCTTAAAAAATCAGTTCCTGTTTGAGAAGTCACACTTAAGCCTAACTCTAACAGAAATATTAATTAGTAAAACATAGAAATGTATATTCATAGCAAGGCAGAAAGTCATCTTTAAATAGTTCTGAAAATGTGAAAGACCAATTTGTGTTGCTTTTCAATGGGAGAAAAACAATCTACTTGGTCTGGACTGGCCTGGAGGTGAAGGACTTTTAATCTGCTCTTGGCTGCTGTAACCATCCAAGTTGTTCTTGAAACTCTGAAATTTAGCCTAAATTGATAGTCTAAATTGAAAATCTATGGCTATGAATGCATTCTCATCCTTTTCTTCTACTGTTGTATGGAAGAGAAAAGTTGCGAAAGCAAGGAGATTCTGCATCTTTTAATGAAAGATAAAACAACAATATAAACATACACAAATTTACAGAGAAGGGTTCAACTTTGATACATTTGGAGTAAAAGGTGTTTCTTATTTAAATATGGTATAAAAATAAATGCAAGAAACATTAACTGAGAATGTACAGACATCAGACAAAGACATGAGCTTGTTTCAGACTTGAATACATCAGTGGCATGAAACTTTCTGTGCTAATTTATTGTTTAATAATTGTGAAGCCATATGTATACTTATTGATATATGTTATTTTTTTTCTTTTACAATTCTCTCAGTTTGTGAATGACTGAATTTTTAGTGAACTGTGTGTCTAGCAGAAGCTTTAAGAGAAAGAAAGGGAAAAAATAGTTTTACTTTACTTAAACTTGCTAAAAAGGAAAAGACACAGATCCAGCTTAGTAGAATAGAAGGAGGAAGAAAGCAGACAACAGTTTGAAATGGAGGCATCGAGATGGCATAGGGTCCCTTGGAGATAGCAAATGCCTTAATGTGCACACAAAATAGAACAATTCAGGTCCTTCATTCATGCAACATCTTGGTCTAATGTCCTCTGATCCAGGTAACAATGACAAGCTACAAAGTATGTGCAATGATTCCAGTCTGCTTCCATGCTACAAGATGATCCATTTAGTAAGACTGAACAAGGCTTGTTAACCTCTTGGATGTGAGAGACTTCCCCTGAGGAAAAAAATATAAAACAAAACAAAACAAAAAAAGAAAGAAAATAAAGGATGATCACTGAAAACCTGCTTACTAGTAGTATCCATTTATTGTGGACTTTTTTTTTTTTTTTGCAAGGGTCAAAACTGAACCCTTTTTACTTGTAGGGCTGGGATCGAACCCAGGGCCTCACACATGCTAAGCATGTGCTCTACCACTGAGTTACATTCCCAGCCCTCAAAACTGAATCTTTTAAGTACATCTTAGTTCAAACATCATGATGAGCCTTCCTCCCCTCCCTTCTGCCACCAACACATCAAACAAAATGATTTTCCCACCCCCTCCCCTCATCCACCTCCTTCCCACTGCAAACAGACTGATGGTTTCACAGCACAGATTAGCAAATCATAAAACATGTCCATAAACATTCCATCGAGGCTTAGCAATGAGGCAATACCTAGGTTCCCAACTGGTTAGAAACATGTTACAATAAATCTTAGTAAGCTGCTCTGAAGGATAATAATGTAAATGCATTCTGTGAATTGGTTGTTGAATTAATAAATATTGAAAAGTAAAGGGGGGATGATTTAATTAAATAAAATGCACTTTGAGAATGTGATTGGTGGAAACTCAAGATTGAGTCTATCCCCAACCTTCTATAGTTAATGGAGGAAAAACTGCTAATTGTACATCTAGAGACAGAGGTCTATCCCCTGTTTCAAACAATTACTACCTTTCTGTCCTTTCTTGCCTGACTTCCTCTAATGCTAACCCCAGAAAAATATGATATAATTCTGGTTCCACATATTGTTCTGATACATTGAGTACATATTCTTGTCCTTTTTTTTGAAATTTTAAAACCAAATTGTTCCTGTTAATTATAAATACTCTAGGAAGATAGGAATTTGACTTTTTTTTTTATCAGAATATAGGTTGTTGATTGGTGGTTTCTATTTCATGTCCACTGTGTGTGTGTGTGTGTGTGTGTGTGTGTGTGTGTGCGTGTGTGTGTGTGTTTTACTGAGGATTGAATCCTGGGGTTCTCTACCACTGAGCTATATCCACAGTCCCTTTTAGTTTTTATTTTAAGTTTCTATGTTGCCCAGGATGACCTGGAACTTGCAATCTTCCTGTCTCTGCTTCTGGAATAGCTCAGACATACACTACCATGCCCAGCTCATTTTTAATTCTATACATTCTAATATAAAAAGAGACAGTTAATTTATTTAATTGATTCTTTTGCTTCCCAAAGGATAAAGCAATAAGGAAAAATTAAGAGAGTTTTTGAGGAATATAGTATTTTGGTAATAAACTATAATTAGAACAATCTTGATTTGCCACCTAATGTGGCTCATGTTTTGGTAAAGGGGTGGGTGATGAGGAGAAAGAGATCATGACTCAGGGCCATTTTCTTAGTTTCTTCAAGCTGCTGTAACAAAAACCCATAGACTGGGTGGCTTATACAAACTGGAAATTTATTTTTCACAGTTCTGGAAGCTAGAGTCTAAGATTAAGATTCTTGCATATTTCTGTTCTCTTCTAGTGTCTAGCTGGTGCAATCTCATTGTGTTCTCACCTGGTGGAAGGGATAAGTGAGTTCCCTGGTGCCTCTTTTATAAGGGTATTTGTCCTATTCATGAAGACTTAGCTCCCCCAAAGTCCCATCTCTTATAACCATCACCTTAGAGTGTTAGAATTTAACATATTCAAACTTCAGCTACACTTTGTGCATAGACTATGATGGTAAGGAAATGACTAATAATTCTATAATCATAAAGATATGATAAGTAATTCCATAATTCATAATCAAAACACTTTCTTTATATACCTTACAGGTACTGATGAGGGCCCTTTTGCTGACATGAACAGCACCACTGAAAACTAAGCAAAATTTTCTCTTGATTGGGAAGAAGTGTTCAAAACTTAGATTTCAGCAAGACAGTAGAAATTGCCAAGGTTTAGTGAAGGTATTTTGTACTAGGCTATGCTTTAGTCACTTTATGGGAAGAAATATGAAAAAAAAAGAAAAAGTAATTGGTGTATTCCTTGCCTTGTTATAGTCTTATAAGAGAGGCCCAAGTGAACTAGGTTGACCCTGCTCCTCTATGTGAAAAGACACAGAGAGAACTTGTCACTCATGAACAAGGAAGCACGGTCTCAACCAGACACTAACTCTGCTGGCACCCCAAAATCTTAAGACTTCCAGCCCTCAGAATGGTACAAAGTAAGTTTTTGTTGTTTATAAGCCATTCAATCGATGGTATTTTATTATAGCTGCTCAAGGGGGCTAAGATACTGCTTTCATTTTTATGCTTATTTCCTCATCCATAAAATTAAAATAATAATTGTACCTATTTTAAGATCTTATTCTGAAGACTCATTTTACTGGAAACTATTATTAGAACATTCTATATCTCCAGTTTATGTTGGCCATTACCTTATTATGATTATGTCTACAACTATTATTTGTAGGACACCTAGACCCAAGTCACTGTTCTGACTCTGAGAAGGGCAGAAAATTTCTAATGAATGGAAAACTAAACTTATACTGTTTTCCTGCCCCAAACCTGGGCAATAAATCAATTAAAAAATGTTGAAATTAAAAAGCACTTTTCTATATTTACATGCTAATTCCTATATTTGCTACTGTCTACTGTCATTGCTGTGCTTGTAATATAAATGTATATGTGTGTATACATATTTATTCTAAGGCTGAAAATTTACATTGTGTGTGTGTATGTGTGTGTGTGTGTGTGTGTGTGTGTGTGGGTGTGTGTGTGTGTAATTGGAGATTGAACCCAGGGCCTTGCACATGCTGGACAAATGCTCTACCACTAAGCTACATTCCCATACCTGAATAATTTACATTTAAAAAGGGCTTGTTTTCATTGAGCCATCTGTGAGATGAAGGGGAGTACATATGTTTGGAGCAAAAGAGTGAATTTCTATGCAGTAGAAGGCTGGGGGAAAGATGCTAATGTAAAACTACTTATTTTAAAACTATTTGTTGATGTGATTTGATTCACTGGGAAATGGTCACATTAAAATAGGAATTCATTTGAAACTTGATTTTGTTTTGTTTTATATTTGGACTATGGAAACAACTGTCACTTTTTGAATTTAATAAAAAGAAATAGAGTTCTCTTTCTATATTTTTCAGTTTTGCTTTTTCCTTAAATATCCACAAGTCATAAGTACTTGCCCTCGTATGTACTTCATTAGAAATGAGGTGTGGTAAAAGTTTGGTTGACCGGCTCTTATCCTAAAAAATATTTAAAATTAACTTTTCCCAGAAGCCCATACAGAAGTACAGGCCTATAGTAATACACCTGGGAGTTTGTGACAATAAAATAACAATGAGCGCAAATGGAAAAACATGTGCATACATTTTAACAGAGTCCAAAAAAACCAAACCAAACCAAACCAAAACAAAAATCTATGGACTTACTAAGCAATAAGGATATTGGTTTTGTGTACTGAGACA